GGGGCATGGGATTTTTAGGGATGGGGGACGCACGGTGATGCGGGGATGCTCGGCATCTCAGGGACTCCGTCCCCCGCCCTGACCTTGCAGGCAGGGAAACTGAGGCACGCCCCCTTTCCCCCCCCCCCCACGGCATCACCGCCTCGGCACCCACATCCCTGCTGGCCGGGTGATGCATCCTGCCCAGATCTGTTTGTAACGCTCCCCTCCTGCTTCGTTAATTAAATCTAATTAGCCGCTCACCCCGTTTCCACAGCAACGGCGTGCAGCAGGGCTGCATCCTCGCATGGCAGCCAGTAAATTTCCTCTTGGAAGTGAGGATGGTGAGCACCCCACCCCGGGAAGGGGTCGTGGCAGAGAATGGACCCTCGGGGCAGGCAATGGGAGCGGCAGGAGCTGCCAGTGCACCCCGGGATCGGGGCAGGGAATGCGAATGGCACCCAGGTAACGAGGCTGCTCTCAGGGCAGCAGCAGCTCCTGCTCCCACAACTGCAGTGCCCTGGTCATCCCAGCTGTTGGAATGCTGGGTTTATCTGGTTTGCAGTCCCAGACCTGAGCTCTTCTGGGATCCAACCCCAGACCCATTTCTGCTGTAATCTCAGATTCCTTTAGGCTGCCATCCTAGAACCAGTTTTGTTGCAAGCTTGGATCCATCTGCATTGCAATTCCAGAGCCATCTGGATTGAAAACCTGGGTTCCTCTGAGCTCCAGATTCATTTTGGTGGTAACCCCAGACACATTTGGGCTGCAATTCCAAACCCATCTCAGTTGCAATCCTGAGCATATCTGCATTGTAATCTGGGATCCAATAGGGACAAAATCCTGGGCTCTGCTAGAATCCTATTGCAAACATGCTTCTGTTGCAACCTCTGTTTTATTAGGGCTCCAATTTCAGACTAATTTCTGTTGCAATTCCAGATCCATTTGGGTTCCAATCCCAGAACAAAATGCCTTGTTAATCTGGGTCCGTCTGGATTCCAGTTCCAGGCCCTTCTGCTTGCAGTCCTGGGTGTTTTTGGGTTGTAGTCTCAAAACCACTTTGGCTGCAGATCCAGGCCCAGCTGGGCTGCAACACTCCGGGTTGCAATCCCAGACCCATTTATTTGCCATGCTGGGGCCATTTGGGTTCCAACCCCAGACCCATCTAGCTGTAATCCCAACCCCACACCTTTGCAATTCCAGAACCATTTGGGTAGCAATCACAGACCCACCAAGAATTCAAACCTGGCTTCAGCCGCACTGCAATCCCAAACCCATCTGTGCTGCAACCCCAATCCCATTCCTTTTGTAATCCCAACCCCATTCCTGCTGCAAACAGGGAAGCCAGTCTGGGTCCATCTGCATGGCAATGCCAGATCCATTTGGGCTGCAATCCCAGACCCACTCCTGGGAATCCTGGACCTGTTTGGGCTGTAACCACAGATCCATCAGGGATGCAATCCCAATCCCACTCGTCTTGCAGTCCTGCACCCAACAGGGGTGCAAACCTGGGTCCAACTGCATTGCAATCCCAGATTCATTTGGGTTGCAATCCCAATCCCATTCCTCTTGAAATGCTGCACCCAGCAGGGATGAAAACCTGGGTCCAACCGCATTGCAATCCCAGTTTCATTTGGGTTGCAATCCCAATCCCATTCCTTTCACAATCCCAGGTTCATTTGGCTTGCAGTCCCAATCCCATTTCTCCTGCAATCCCAGGTTCATTTGAGCTGCAATCCCAATCC